GCTCTGGTTATAGTTTCCATCGGTTATGACAACCAGAAACATTGGGTTCTGTTGTCCCAGCTACATAGCATTAAACGCTTCCATGTTCACTTGCAGCTCAAAGTGAAGCTCCAGCTTTTTTTCTACCTCAGTGACGTCCTCGTGGTATCAACATCAGACATCTATTAATTCAATAGCTGTTTTTTGTCTTAGGTAAAGTGAGTACTAGTTTGATTATAAGTGTATTGCACTATATTTTGGATGTACATATCAGGCAGGGTGATGGGGAAGGGAGGACTGAGTTGCTAAGTGAATGGCTAAGTGAGTCAAACAACATAGAAGCCAACAAACTGCCAGTAGAAGGAGAGTGAGAAAATTGGAATTCATGGACAGTCCCTTTTACCAGGAGCCAAGAGTTCTTTTATGGTTCTATGTGGAAGGAAAGAATTGGCATATGGTGTGTGCTTGATAGAAAAGCATAAGCTAGTTTGGTTTTTGCTTAATTGAAATGTGCCATTATTTTTATAACTAACAAGACTGTTAATAGCTGGAATAGCAGTAACAACTTTGGAGCCTCTTCTGGTCTCTCCTTCCAGTAAAAGACTTTGATAGATGCTTACTACAGAGGAAGTCTGTTGGGGGCAAAGGACAAAAACGGCACCCATGATGATAAGAGTAATATGGAACAGAGGTCAGATATCTAACAAAAACTGTGCAAACTCCATGTATAACAATACAAGCCTACTGGAAATCTCTATTAACTTATACAGACAACAAAATTACGCAGGAAAGACCACATCACCACATTTGACAGCTAAGATTTTTCATTACAGATGATTTTATATGATTGCTACATTTCAACTTTTTGCTACAAAAATACCAACCAATTCCATTCTAATCTCCATAGAATTGACAATTAAGCAACTGACTGTCTCGCCAAGAGATATGTACCTGCATCTAAATTGAGTCAAGGGATGAACTCTCAAAACAGTCTAGCATTCACAGAAGTGTCTGGAGTATCATGCTTATATTATACAAACCATATCTGAAAGTTAAACTACAGTCCAATAGTAACATTCTTGCTATTTAGCCAGGATTTGAATCCCAGACATTCCAATTTCTAACCTCATCACTGGGTACACTATTGAAGGGCTTAAAGTCATACCTTGGGGATGGGAAAGCTATCACTGCAAAAGTTGAGATTAAACTATAAACATTGTTCTTTCCAATATAGTGCATTTTACTTGATCACAGTTTTTCTGGAGAAGCACAATAATTATAACATTTTTGAGCAACAAATTTCACCCCTGCTACATGATGACAAGCTTGTATAACATTTTTATTATGCTTATGTAATAAAAGCTGGAAATAGATTTCCTTGGTACATATAGCATCAACACTTTATAGGTTCATATTGTAAAATGTCATATCACACTTTTTTTTAGGCTAGATAGATTTCTCTCTGAAACAGGTGGCAATGCAAGATAATGTGATATGCTTGGTCTTTATGTGAAGGTGAATTAGTCATCCTTTTATAGCCAGCTCTCCTACCAGTATATGGAACAGTGATGACAACTTTTGAAAAGTGTTTAAAAGTTCAAAAAACGAAATTAAGTCAAGAAAAATGTTTTACATATCTTCTAGTGTGATGAAGAATGATATTAAATCATAAGCTACCCTGGTACTTATTTTAAAAGTACTAATGTCTGTGACAATTATATAGTAATTTGATATGCAAAGTGCTAATCATCTATCATAAACAATCATGGTCATTTGAGTGGTAATATATCATAACTATTCAATTATATGCAACACTTTTTAGGCCAACTTTTTCAGAATTGGATACCTAAAGTTAGGCATCTAGATCTCTATTTACAAGCTTATATGATCACAACCCTGCACTTAAGCAGGGAGGAGTTTGTCTGGCTGGCCGGGAGAAGAAGGCAATACTTTCTGGCTTGGGGGAGAAGGGAAGACATAGATCTGCTGGAAAAAGCAGTCCGTGTGGTAAATGACTCACCACATAGGAATGTGCGGTTTAAAAGGTCAGTTGGGCTTGGCCCCTCCCTCTTGACTCAGCACAGGCCAGGCAGCACCCATCCTCCCTCCCTAATTAGATCACAAATATGCCGGGTGTTTAGCCATATCTGATGTGGGCATTAAGCTAGCCGCCCTACTAAGGGGGGCTGGGAAGGAATTTTTCCCTTACCAGCATATTGGCCAGGTGCAGTGGGGGTTTTTTCGCCTTCCTCACAGCAGGTTCAGGTAGGCTCGGTTCATGGATAGCATGACAGGCGGTAGGCCATATGTCACAACTTTTTACTTAAGTGTATAGCGGATGTTTCAGTGCAGGTACTCCATAAATTAAGGCACAAAAGAATGAAAAAATGGCTTGGAAAAGGAATTAAGGAGAGGTGCTTGGTAATTGAGCAAGCCGTGGGCAGTTGGGGATTCCTATGACTGGTACAGCAGGGAGCCAACCCCACATTATTATAGTCCACCTTAACCCCCTCCTGCATGGGGGCATGGTCAGTAAGTTCCCAGCAAGGGAATTGCTGGAGGGACCTGGACGAAAAGGGCAAGGGCGGGGAGCTAGTGAGAGCCGCCCCCCGGAGCTGACTGGAAGTGATAAGGTCCTGGCAAGGGAATTGCTGGAAGAACATAGATAAATAGATAAATTCCATCCCTGGAATTGGTACGGTCCCGGCAGTAAATCTGCTGGAGGAACATAAATTTTGCACCTGCATTGTACACATTTTTATCAGCCGGGTTAGTCCCAGACATCTGTCAATAATAAAGTTGTGGCCTGATTAAACCCACATCTAATGTCTCCTGTCATTCTTTCGGCATAGCCAGACAAATGTGTCCTCACTGCAGTTTTGAACCACTGTGTGTGCATTTTTGTTAGGACCAGGTCTGTGGCTGTGACTAAAGTCCCTTAGTATATGAAGGCTGAAAGCTTTTAAATTTTCACATACGTTTTCTGTATTTCCTGTCTAATTATTGTTGATTATCAAGATACTTTTGGGAGAGAAAAACATCTCTTTTCCAATCAACCTCCTTCTACTGGATGGTTCATTAATGACTAGTACAACAATGAATGTAACTGTAATTATAGTGTCAATAATTCTGATGTCACAAACACAAAAATTTGTCATCAGTGACTGAATCAAGAACAAGGGGCAGGTTGACTAGAAAATATAAACCTTCTTGTATAATTAAGCAACACACTTGGAATTTATTCAGAAACAACATTATCTTAAATGTTTTGTTGGTTAAGGTTAAATTCCCCTCTGAAGAGGATCCCAATAAGGCCATTTGAACACTGAGCTTTCATTCAAGCCTTTAGCTAGAGGGGTTTTGCCCTTTGTACTGGATAGTATTTCATCATCAGTGTATGAAGTCCTAATATCAAATTTGTGGATCTTTTTTCGGTGTTAAATTTAATAGGTTTCCTATATTACATAGACACTGAGGTTATAGCACCAATGTTGCTGTGTCTGTTCTTGTTTCTCAACCAAGTCCTGTTTTGCATACTATAATCGGTATTGACTTAGGTCCTGCCCACATGATATGACTTCTGACTAATGTTATAACCAGTTGGAGGCACAGACATCATAACTGGCTATGAATAACACAGTTCAAGTTATGTCCTAAGTCCAGAAATCTTTTACAGGATTAGGATCCTAGAAACAACAATGCTAAAAGATACACCTATTACAAACTCCCATGAAGGATCATCTTTGGTTAAATTTTAATAAAAACAAAAGTCCAAAAACAAAATAAAAACAAACCAAATAAAACCCTCTCAAAAATAAAATCAAACAAATGAAACGTATGTCATTCAATATTACAAAATGTTGAGACAAAGTTAAGATTCCTAACCTAACAGAGGTCAGGAAAGTCAAAGTTCTGTACTCCGACTTGACATAACATATGTGCTATAATCACAAGGCACAGCTAAATGATGTAAATCAGAGGGTCACAGTTTTAACATAGAATTTACTGGCTTTTAGCAACTTTCACAAACATCCAGTGTTATTTTTACAATATTTCAGAAGTAATAATACAAATGCTGATTGATGGCTATATGTTTCACTGCTTTTTGGTGATTGTCAAGATCTCAGCACTAAGGCGTTAATGTAAAAATAGTGTGTTATCCCTATACTTTTATGGAACGGGGGTTCCCCTTCATTTTTGAGATGGCATCAGTAACTCTGTTTATTGCACTGTATATAACTTATAGGAGTTCCTAACATACTGAACTGGTGTCATATATCAAGGACTCTTTGGTCAGCACAGTAATATAAACTAACCTTCAGTTATTAACATAAGTTTCTTATTCACTTGATATTTCAAATGGGTCATTCAACTGATAACATCTCATGTTTTTCCCTGCTTAATCTTTGCTTTTGATAAACAAACTATCCATACATACCAAAATGCCCAGGTAGATTTTGCATCATTTATATTTCTTCCTTGCAAATTTTGCAAGCAAAGAACATTCTTCTGTGAATTTCTGTTATTACAATTAAACCACATATTACAAAATAGCTACAGAATCCAGTTTTCTTGTTAATCAATGGCATTATTTGTCTCTGCTTCTGAATTGTTTTTTAAATTATCACTAATTAAGATTTTAGATTTCTGCTTACATTTTATCTTTAACATTTCTGTGTTCATCCATATCATATTTTTTTTATAAAATGTAAGCTATGTTCATAGGTAGTACTGTTTAAACATAAGACTACACTGGAGGATGAAGACATAATGAATGAAGCCCTTAGTGATGGGATTTCCTTAAAGTTAACTGCTTGAGTTCATTCATTTCTATTCACTGTAAAACGTAATGCAGCTTTCCTCAGCTACTGGAAACTTTAGAATCCTGGATGTAGTTAATTTACAGTAAACCAAGTCCTATAATGAGGAACGACTAAAAGAGGGGAAAGCCGCATTTGTTCCAGAACAATACAATTATATAGAGGTCAAAGTTATTTAAAAAACAAAGAAAGGTTACCTACCAGTTCAACTCGTCCAAAACCTCCAACTCCAAGAGTGTCAATGATGTTGAAATCAGACAGTTTCAGGTTGGCGAAGAAGGCAGCTTCGGCTTCATATCTGGATTTTTTTATGTGAAAAAATGGAAATTTCTTAGAGGTGCAAACCTGGGTATTGCGTAAGATTGTACCTGAATGGCATGAGTGTGGAACAGGATTTACCTGTTTAACTTCCATCTTGTCTCAAAGTCTGTGTTTGTTCACACTCATAGTTTTGTTGGTCCCAATTGTAAAGTATAACATGTATTTGCACTTTCCCCCCAAAGTAGGAAAATCAAAGTTCCTACTGCATGTCTATAAAACAATTTTTTTGTTCTGTAATTCAATTCCAGTTATCAGTTGAATGCTACATTTTGACACTTCCTATTAATCTTCTGCTGTGGACTGTTTTGCTTTTTAGTATTTTTGGAAGATAAAGTCTCTCATATGAGTTTCCCTTATCCACAGGCTGGCAGTAGTTTCTATAAATGTTTATTGAAAGTAGCAAGATCATTAAGGTCCCTGGAGAACAATCACAGCCAAGTTACATGAAATTAGATCCAATAAGCTGAGGGCTGGTGTGCAAATGTCTGAAATGAATGACTTCAGACACATATTAACATTCCTAAAAATGCATCTTCACTTCTTTTACATTTATAAGCCTACTTGGAGCAGAAATTCCCAACTAGTATCCCACAGACCTGAAGCTCTCTCTTTAGCCTGTGTACAAGTGGCTTGCAATAAAAGTTCACAAAGCACTAACTATGCAAGCATGCAAATCTGACACATGCAAGCCTGCCAAAATAAGCTTCCCACAAATATACTTGTGAATATGAATCCCTTAAAATATCTCCTTGCTGAGGATTATGGTATTTTTAGAAGGCTCAGAAGGCAGATGGATGAACAGGATCCACCCACTTAATAAACTTTGGACAAGGAGGCATTCAGCTGCCAAAAAAAGTCCCCAGTGCATGTGCATAGTCAAATACAACCTTTGACCTTCAGGAACACAGAATTGTATGTGAAAGTAATGTTGACAGGATTATGAACACAAGCATGCAGGGTAGGAATTGTTTAGTGAGTTTTCCAATATATAATATTTAATTTTATGCCAATATTTTGCATTTAGAGGATCCAAATAGCCTACAAACTGCTATTTCACGATAACATAACAAGCAAGCATGGCTCACTACAGATAAGGTTTTAATATTTTCTCATAATAATACAATCATGATAAAATGTTATAGATGATCATATACACCTATCCATCCACCTATCTTTTTAATGTAGCTTATCTATCTATCTAAACTGTTAGGGCTGTCACTGAATAATCTAATCTAATTCAATAATGGAATGTAACTAATTTACTCCCACTTTATTCCCCTCAAACCAACATTCTTTATTCTTTTTAAAAGTGAAAGGACATTGTGAGGGCAGGGAAAGCAGCAGTTGACCTGTTCCAAGGTAACAAAGGAGCAGAAAAAAAGGGATAGGGGATGGGGGCAGGGAAGGAGCTTGGAGTGGCCAAACATAACAAAGACCAAATTAAAATGTAATATAAGGCAATCCTATCTTGTAGTTTCTGATGACAAAATAGTTGAGTTCTGCTTTATTATTTATAATGTCGTCAGATTCTCTCAATAACCTTGAGCCTATGGCCAGAGCAGTCTGACTGCATCTGATATTGAAAGCTAATCAGTGCTGAGTCTATTTAGTACTTGGAATAACCTTGCATGACATGGCTGCTTACTGATCATTTTATACTAGCCATGATGTGCATATTAAACTGGCAACATAAAAACTAAGTGTTGTCGGTAAATAAAAGGTCTACTTATAAATCTCCTTATTTCTAAATAACAAAGAACAAATTATATTAGCAGTTGCAATCCAGTCAGGAAAGATGTTACTTCAGTCTGGCTGCCTGGACCGATTTAAAGTATAAATATATACAGTTTGTGACTTCTGATATTTTAGCCCTTTTGGCTGATTTGCTACATTTAATAGTTTCTAGGGTTTAGATGTAATGGTAGGGCTGAGATCCTGTCAAGGATTTGCACCCCAGTGTTGAACCAACTGATGGAATGCTTCCCATTTCCAAGTCACAAAGCACCACATTAGCCATCCTGATTCTGGCCTGTACCTGTGGAAACTCATTTTGTAATGGTGTGGCGGGAAGGAGCAAGACAATGTGGTGACTGGGTTTATCAAATGAGGAGTTTTATATGCACTAAACCAAGTCATTTATTCCACAACATAGCACATGTGATATGCACTTGGGGAGTGCCATCCTGGCCAACCCATGATGTCAGGGAGGCATAGGATCCGGTAGTCCAGTCCTGGGAAACTTGATTGGATTTCCCCAATGCTGAGGAAGCAGGGGATCTGACATGCTAAGTGCATGTTTTCAAATGTTGTTAAGGCCTCCGTGATCAGTTTTTACATAGGAAAGACATGGAATAAATTGTTTTCATTTCTATAATGCCTTTTATGCTGAAAGACTGCAGAGTGCTGCATAAATTATGTACAGTTCATACAATTCCACTTGAGAGGAGAAAGCCTGCCCCAACATCCCAAAATAGAGTACAGAAGAACAGGTGCTCTTTCTGATTCATGGGTATTCCACGAACCCTCTTTGAAACCCCCAGTACAAAAGAGCATTTTGCAGCGAGCATATATTCTTCATCTTTCTGTGTAGAGTCACAAAAATTGATGCTCTACTGACAGCTTTTAAATTGGGTTTTCTGTCTTAATAAAAAAGTTAATTAAAAGAAAACATTTTTAAGCTTCTACAATGCACTATTTATTTTTACTTCTGTTTGGCTAATTTTTTTTGGTAGATAGGCTGCTCTTCGGTCAGTTCAATGAAGACTGCAGAGCAAATTTTGTACAGGGTCCCAGATACTTTGTCATGGGCATTATAGAAAAGAAAGAAATGAATTATATATATTCTGAAACAAAAATATATGTAAAAGAAAGCGTACAGACCAGACAACAATCCTATTTTGTCTAAAAATGATAATTACACCCTAATTCTGTTTCATTCCTAAAAGTAAAGGTCAAACTCTAATCCCATTCAACCTCCTATAAAAGTAGGAGATTCACATCCTATCCTCATCTTAAGGAAAATTATTTAGGGCCAAATTCTGCCCTTATATATGTGCATGTAAATCCTTAAAAAAATTGAAGTCAGTCTGGAGTAACTTCACTGAAGTCAGTTACTTCCGATTTCCTGGGTGTCAATTAAAAGATTGGCCCACAGGCCATGGAAAGCTTTCTGTACATATCTAAGGAGAAAATTTAGCCCCTACCTCTAAGAGTCAAAGATTTGGATTGGGTTTTAGCTGTAGAGCTAACTTTAACAGGTGTCATATAACTCAACATTGGGAAAACCTAGCAGTAAATCTATAATATAATTTAAAGAAAAATATCAGAGTGAGAACATGCCTGTTCATGCCATAAATTAGGAATCAACCCTTTATCCTAGTTGCCCTTAAAAGGATATGACTTCAAGCTACTTTCTTCTTATCCATTAATTTGATTTTGTGCTGCTTTCTAAACCAAAAACTGAGAGATACTGGAGTGTGCAGTCTCTCAGAATCAGTTTCAGTCACACTACTAATGACAGACAATGGGCAAATACAGTACGTTCAAACCATTCTGTCTACAACATTGAAATAAGAATTCTCAATTTCATGTAAAAGAGAAGCTGTATCTTATAATTTTACCAACTACACGTTACATGAGTTATTCTATAGTGAATTTGCTTAATTCCAAAAATATTCTCCAAAGTGCATTTAGTCATAAAGGAATAGGAGGGCAGTTCAATGAAATACAGATACACGTGAAAGTTAAATAATGTATATACACAGGCATGTCTTGTTTTGGGCAGTTCAAAGAAGCAGCTGCTGCCAGAGACATTCAGGTCCTTGGGAACCCACCCCAGCAGGGACAGGATGAAATGCTAGTGGGATGTTTATTACTCATGCTCTAGTGATAACTGGGGTGTTGTACAATCTGAAATAACTTGAATCCCCTTGGAAAAATATACACACAAGTTCTGGTCATATTTCTTAATGATTTCCATGACAGAGATTCTAAAACCTTTCTCCAGCTGGCATGGCAGAAGTGTTTGAGGTAGGTTAGGGGAGAAGGTTATATACTAGATATCTGGCCTCATAAATCGGGTCTCCAGGTTTGTTTGAACTAGCCATGATCCTTTTTGACCTCTGGAAGGGTTGGTGACAGCCATAAAAATAATATTTAGTTATATAATTTAATAAAGTAATTAATGTATAGAGGTACAATGAGCAGCCACAGAGAGGTTCTGAGGTGTGGTTCAGTATGCAAAGGTCCAAATACTTCTCTGGACCATATTCAAATGCTCAGAAATTCTTGGATCTGGATAGCAGCTCAGTGAATTTGAAAGAAATTGGCTATACTGAGATTTCTGGTACTTCTTTCCTTACTTGGGCGAAGAAATATTTCAAGAACAACCTTTCTCAAGATATTTATACATTTCCACTTGTGGTCCTAGAACCACCAGGCCGAGGGCCAGGAAAATGACAAGTGAGAATACAAAGGAAAAAAGGTGGATTGAACTTTTTCAAACAAAAAAAAGTTGATGTGTCAAATGTGTAAGGGGGAGTTAGTTTATTCTTAGTGAACATGGATTCTCACTGAAGTATTCAGCTGATAGGAGGAAAAAAACCAAACATGCCTTATAACCCAAGTTATCCATGCAAAGCAACCAAACTTCTTTTAAACTGCTTTCAAGAATTTAGACAGTGATTTTCAGAGGAGATGAAGGGAGTTAGGCAATCAACACCTACTGAATTCCAATGGGAACTGTTTGCCTAACTCCCTCAAGATCTTTTTTTCCTTAGATAAAGAAATACCTCACTCTTTTAATGGGAGAGATTCCCCTTGTTTTAGCAAACATTTAGGTGTCTAATCTCCTTGCCTTGGATGTTTAATGTCCATTTATGTTAGAAATGGACAGAAAAGGAGGTATTCAGATCCAAATAAAACATAAGCTATAGTTCAGTTTTGACGGTGACAAAATCTCATGAGCTGTTCTACTAA